GCCACACACANGGTTTGAAGTGGCCGGTTGTGTGTGGCACAACTGAGCTGACTTCTTTTAGTTTTTGTAGTGTTTTCTCTATTGTGGCAATGTGACGCATCAGTATTGATGCGTATGCAGGAATCACTGTAAACGGTTTTCACGATTGGCTCAGCCGAGGCGAACGGTCTGCTTAGTGATTTTCTCTCTATTATTAGATACTATGCCCGGGTTTTCGGACTGCACGGCAAATCATTCATAGTTTTTCTCTTTTGGCAGACTTCAGAATATTTCGCGAAGTCTAGTTTTCTTGGGTCAATGATGCCATGATTTGTGATGTGCGTGATGCGCATGATGCGTCCCTCCACATGACTCCTTGGATCATGCTTCGTAGCACATGACCGAATGACTTCTCGCATCAGGTACGCGTCGAGTTTCTACACTCGCACATTTATCTTTAGAATTAATATCTTTTAATCCATAATAAGGTGAGACCCTGGTTTGGTGTAAACTCCAACACCCTGTGCGGGGGTGTCTTTACTCTAGAACACTCGGTAGTGTACTATTTCATGGTAGTGTAGCCTTTTATTAGACTTCGAGTATATTGAAGTGATTCGGTCATGAACCGACCACAATTCCTACTGCCTAAGGCGTGCACATTTCTTGGATGTAGACTTTAATCGACTAGACCGGGTTGCGTCTAACGATCCTTATGATCAATGTGACTGTATTTCTACTATAGGAGGTTTTATAGGAGAAATTGCTAAAATTCGCTTTTTTACAGGTGTATTGTTACACTCTGTATCATTGGGTATGATGTCAAAAGTTAATGATGTGGCCATAGCAATATGTAAAGTTATTTAATCCTTCAAACCATATCCACATGGACCTAGAACTATGATTTGAGATAGGACAGTAGCTATCAATAGGAAGGCATAGAATAGCCTTTCTTGACATGAAAGACAACTTGTACATGATGTCAAAAACCAATGCTGCAGCAATGGCAATATGTAAAATCATGTCAATCCTTTCACCTCATCCCCATAACCTATACAGAGTCAAGGACACTATAAACTATATGTCAACTACAAGCTTTTGTAGCCTCAAAAAGCGGACACTACAAACTTTTCTAATGAAAAAGCGGACACTACAAACTTTTGTAGTCTAAAAAGTGGACACTACAAACTTTTCTAATAAAAAGACGCAGACTACAAACTTTTGTGGTCTAAAAAAGCGGACACTACAAACTCTTCTAACACAAAAGTGGACACTACAAACTTGTGTGGTCTAAATAGCAGACACTATAAACTTTTCTAATAAAAAGGCACACACTACAAACTTTTGTAGTCTAAAAAAGCGGACACTACAAAATTTTCTAATGGAAAAGCGCAGACTACAAAAGTTTGTAGTGTGGATAACCTTTTAACCTAACCTTAACTTTGTAGTCTAAGTCCAACTTTTGTAGTCTTCTGTAGTCTATCAGTAAAGTTTGTAGTCTATGTCTGACTTTTGTAGCCTATGTCCAACTTTTTGTAGTCTATCAGCAAACCTGGTAGTCTATATCTGACTCTTGTGGTCTGTCAGTGTCAATTGCTCTTTCAGGGAATGCACCTTCCTTTTTTGGTCATTTTTCCCATGATACAATATTTGTTGCCCTTTCATTTAGCTTTCTGGATGTGTTGGAATCATGTTATTTGGTTTTGTTTGCATGGAGAAAAATGCAAAAAAAACACAGCACTTGGAAGAATCTTTTACATCATATCTTCACAAAGGGAGCACTTCACAACATAATTCAAACAGATTCAGGAAGCTACAGTGTAGGGCTACAACTTTCGTTTTTTGACCATTTTAGGAAATTGGTCATGTGATCACCCTCCCAACAACCCATGTGATACATATCATCATTATTATCTAGTTTTGGTAATGAAAGTGCCAGGGAGCCTGATGAGAAGTAATGAAATTGTCAAGGTGCTCAATGAAATATCCTAATGAAAGCACCAAGAAGCCTAATGAAATATTCTAATGAGAATTCCATGAAATGGTAATGAAAGAGTCAAGGAGCTGAATGAAATATTCCAATGAAAATTCTAAGAAAATCTAATGAAAGCGCCAAGGAGCCTAATGAAATATCCTACTGAAAACCATAAGAAATGGTAATGAAAGGGTCAAGGAGCTGAATGAAATATCCCAATGAAAAGTTTAAGAAATGGTAATGAAAGAGCCAAATACCCAATGAAATATCCTTATGAGAAATGGTAATGAAAAAGCGAAGGAGCCTGATGAAATATCCTAATGAAAATTCTAAGAAATGGTAATGAAAAAGCGAAGGAGTCTAATGAAATATCCTAATGAAAATTGATGGTAATGAAAAAGCGAAGGAGCCTGATGAAATATCCTAATGAAAATTCTAAGAAATGGTAATGAAAAAGCGAAGGAGTCTAATGAAATATCCTAATGAAAATTGTAATGAAAAAGCAAAGGAGCCTAATGAAATATCCTAATGAAAATTCTAAGAAATGGCAATGAAAAAGCGAAGGAGCCTAATGAAATATCCTAATGAAAATTCTAAGAAATGGCAATGAAAAAGCGAAGGAGCCTAATGAAATATCCCAATGAAAAGTCTATGAAATGGCAATGAAAGGGCCAAAGAGCTTAATGAAATATCCTCATGATATCTCATTATCCTTGCCTATATCTTATGAAAGATTCCAGTGATAAATTGAATGAAATAGATGGACAATCCTAATGAGATGCCTTTCATAAAACCTGTGGCAGTATACACATTGGCTCTTGTACAGTTGTCATAGATTAATCATAAAAGTGGTAGCCAACAGTCCGTTAAGTTCACGCTAGAGGAAGCAGCGGGTAACAAAGAGGCCTCAGTAGGGTTGATCCTGTGCGCGGGATGAGGTCCCGAAAGCACTGGACCTTTAGTGGGCAGGGGATTGCTGTTAACAGGTGTGGCAGCATCAGGATCCATTTCCTCTGTCATGGCCATGCCCTTTCCTTTCTTCCTCATTGTTAACGGAGTGACGAGCTCTTGACTCGCCAAGTTGTTTGTGTGTCGGGTTTTGTTTCTGGAGCTTTCTTCCCCAGCAGAGGGGGCTAGCGAACTCATAGGAAAAGGTCGTATTGGGTCTTGTTGGCAGTTCAACGGTTTAAGAGGCGGTGGTTGAGGTTCAGGGCATAGACAGGGAGGATTTTTCTCAGGAGGATCATAGTGTAGGGTCCAATTCTCACAGGAAATTTTCCCATCAAGGAAACATCTCCTGGCAACCGAGTGGCTTGAGGGTAGGGACGTGTACCAGGCATAGCTTGAATGATTTGGGAGAGAGGATTTGTCAGTGATTACTGAGTTGTAATCAAGTGTTTGTTCTGAAGGCACGAGGGTGGTCATAGAAGCAAGATTGTTGTCCAAATTCACAGAATTACAACCCTCGAGAGCTGTGGGTACTTGCACTGTCAAGGGTTGGGGTCAGACGTCAACGTTCCTTGCTTCCACACAAGGCTCTAATTTGTTTAGGGTAGCGGGAGGTCTAGAAAGAGTTGTTAGTTGACAGATTGTGTCAAACTCACTTACTTTTCACGGCCCTCTCAGTTCTCTGCACTTACGGACTTCATCTTGGTGAAGTCCACAGTGCCCCCACCATTGTGAAACCGAGCTGGCGTCGGCGTCTTCTTGATGTGTCCGAGGCTGAGAGATGGCGGCAATGAATAAGCGAGGTATGTGTGATGTTGATGGCGTCTTCCTGTGATGCAGGTTGGCGCCTAAGCTGTCCCATGACCCCGGAGCGGGGAGGGATGTTTCCGTTGGGGTGTTTGACATTGAAATTGAAGGCGCCGCGGGGGATGTCTCCATCGGGGTGTTTGTCATTGAAATTGAAAGCACTGCAGATGATGTCGCTGTCGGGGTGTTTGAGGTTGAGATTGAAGGTGCCGTGGGGGATGTCTCCATCGGGGTGTTTGTCATTAAAATTGAAAGCACCGCGGAGGATGTTGCTGTCGGGGTGTTTGAGGTTGAGATTGAAGGCGCCGTGGGGGATGTCTCCATTGGGGTGTTTGACATTGAAATTGAAGGTGCCGCGGGGGATGTCTCCGTTGGGGTGTTTGTCATTGAAATTGAAAACATGACCTCCATGATATGGTCATCTGTGGCATGATCTTGAATACATCAAGTTAGCAGAGCACTTTATTGACTGTGGCAGAGCATTTGATTGACACTTACAGGGAATTGAGAATTCAAAATGTTGACTCCCATGGGGCATTTGATTGACTCCGACGGGGCATTCAAAATTTAATATGTCAGCTCTGGCGAAGCATTTATTCAAGATAGAGGAGTCAATCCACTACAGCATTTTTAAGCTGGTGCCCAGATCATCCATCCATGTGAACTGAAACATGCAATGGCTTGGAATATGTGATTTGCAGAAACAAGAAATATATTGTCAAGAAATCGACGCACAATATTGATGAAAGGTCCTGCTAGTAGCCATGACAAATCCTCATAATACAAAAGAAAGATCCACTGAATTGGAGGTCAGATAGTTGAGGTGTGCACCATTTAGTTTTTAGAAGTAGAACAACTCTGGCAGCCCGCCTTAGCAAATATGGGCCAGTGGCAACCTAATATGGAAGGAGTGCATTATTCACACACCATCTGAAACTACGCACTGCACCGCACCAACAAAACAAAGACATTGGGGGGATCCCAGAAAGGAATAGAATCATTTGGAATAGTTTTCTCAGTGATTGAAGAAGTTTTTGTGAACAGACCTCGGAAAGAGCTATTTGGTGCATGAATCTTTATACAAACCAGTTGCACAACATGCCATTTTGCATACATCAAGTTATATTTTTTTTTCTTCCCTCACAACTGCTTCCCCCACCTATCTGAATTGATTCTAAAGTATGTAGGCTATATTTGGGGAAAGTATGGGAGCATTTCAACAAGATTTAGATAGTGAAAGGAAATAAGAAAGAATGTGGTTTCATGTTTAGAGTCATATTTTCACCCTTTCAAGCTCCAGCTCCCCCAAACCATCAGAAAACTGCTTCGGAGCAGGGGATATATATTCTGCCATATGTTAACTATGTATAAGAAAGGCTCAGATGTTGAGATTTGGTAGCAAAGTATACAGAAAAGTCAACAATATCATGTTGTGAGATATTTCATGCATTCAACCTCATTTCTCCACCATGCGCCAAAATTCTTTTCCAAAGTAAACTTGAGCCTATTTTACAACAGTTATAGTATGCTGGAAAGATGTATTGAGAAGCTATAACAGTACAGCTCATTTTTTTTCCCCACAACTCCAGCAGGGCATTTCATTGACTCCGTTGGGGCATGTAAAATTAAATATGTTGACTCCTGCAAAGCAATCAATACACTCTGATGGGGAATATAAAATTTGAATTGGGTGGGAGACAGTTGATTGACTTTCATGGGGTATTTAATTCACTCCATTGAGGCATTTAAAATTAAATATGTTAACTTCTGCAGGGCAGTTTATTCACTCCGACAAAGCATTTTATTGACCCCGTCGGCGAATTTAAAATCAAATATTTTGACCCCGCGGCGATTTAATTCACCCCGACGGAGCATTTTATTTACGCTGTCGGGGCTTTTAAAATTAAATATGTTCACTCCCACGGGGCAGTTTATTCACTCCGACGGGGCATTTTATTGACCCCGTCGGCGAATTTAAAATCAAATATGTTGACCCTGCGGCCATTTAATTCACTCCGACAGGGCATTTTATTCATGCTGTCAGGGCATATAAAATTAAATATGTTCTCTCACAGGGCACTCCGACAGGGCATTTTATTCACTCTGTCATGAAATTTAGAGTCAAATATGTTGACCCCCACACCGCATGTAGTTTACTCCTCCAGGGCATTTTATTTACTCTGACAGGGTATTTTAAATCAAATATGTTGACTCCCATGGGGCATTGGGTTCACTCCTCCAGGGCATTTGAAATTGAGTATGTCAACTCTGGCAATGCATTTACAATTAAACATAATAACCCCTCAAGTCAATCAAATTCTTCATGGAGTCAAAATAGTCAAATTTAAATACCCATGGTGGTTGACATACTCAGCTGTAAATTCTCTGCCAGAGTGAATCAAATGCCCTGCGGGAGTTGAAATAACCGCCCCATTGGAGTCAATCAAATGCTTAACCAGAGTTGACATATTCAATTTCAATAGATGTCATTGATTAATATTATGGACACAGGTAATTTACCATTAGAGCAGGTTGGGGTATATACAGCATGCTTTGCTGACCAGCAGCTGTGTGGTAGAGCAAGTAGCTTAGGGTGGAGGTTTACAATTAGCTACTACTGATAGAAGCAAACAGTACAACATCAAAGCAGGTAACAAAGATTGGGGAACTAGGGTGTGATGCCGACAGGACACCCAGAAGGCTGCCGTGGGTGGCTGCCACGGCAAGAGACGCCGTGCCTGCAAGCCATTTGTATGCATCCGGCTGGTCCGTTGGTAAAGGGATGTTTTGGAAAGTCCGGCTGGGACTGGCTGGCCCGTTCATTACGAGTCATTGTCATGTCTGGCTACTATGTTTGGTACGTGACATAGTGACTGATATATGTGTGTGATCATCATATATGATCGGTCTTGGATGAGATGGATGATACATGTAGCCACCATCTTTCGCGATTATCATAGCCTGGTAGAGAGCAACCAAGGCGCCTAGGTTGATGATCGTTATTGGAATTAAAAAGCCGATGTTGGCTTTCGTCATAAACCAGCTGTATACCTCGTATCTCAGTTGCCCAGTTACCTGGCGAAGGCAAAAGGGAGGGATATCGGAAACCGTCGAATAAATCATCCGGTAGTAGGACATCTGTGAGATGACAGACAATGAGAGATAGAAAAGGAATAAAAAGATTGACAAGACAACAAACCTCGTACTCGATTATGCCCTGGATCATCTGTTCGTACATAATCAAAAACTGAGGGCTTGAATATAGTAGTGCTGGCAAGCCAAATGCATAGATTCCCAAGTTGATGACCGTTTCTGCAAAGACATTGTCTTGTAAGTTTTGGGAGCCCAATATGAGGTCTGCAAGTCCCTCCAATGTAGTGTTCGAAAGTCTGGTTAGGTCCGGTTATTGGGTGCCCAGGGGCTCTAACCGAGACCGAGACCGGTTAGCCTTTGTCCCGAAACCTAAAATAACCTAACCAGACCACAACTAACCGGTTACGGTCAGTTATTTGCAGTTACTAACTGGTTAGGACCGAAAAATAAAGAATCGGTTATAACAAGGCAAATATGCTCATATGTATCTTGATAGATATTATTTCTGCATATTCTAGCTTTAAAACGAGCCCAAGAACGCTAAATTCAGTGAAGAATTGACATATTTATGCAATTATCCTTGAAAGTCTACACATTTGAGTGATATTTTAGAGATTTGACTGTAACTTAGTCAAATTTTAAGCATTTTCGATGTTCTCAAGTGCGTTTTGAAGGTGTATAATAGGGCTGGTTATAACCGGTTATTTAACAGTTAGTTAACCACAAAATAACCGGTTATTCCATTTTTGAAATCAACTAACCCTAACCGTGGTTAGGTTAGTGTTGCGGTTAGGTCCGGTTATTTTCTGGTTATTTTCCGGTTAACTAACCTAACTTTCAAACACTACTCCAATGCGTGATTGATGAGTAAAGAAAATGCAATGGGAGAGGATGTGTTTGCTTCAAGTTCTGTAGCAGAGAAAATGTCTTCCGTCGACCAATACATTACTGAGTACACGGCAGATTGTATCAGGTTTATGACACAAGTGATATTCCCAACCTGTGTTGCATAATCATCCAACCCAGCCAAGTAGATAGTATAAGAAGCCGTCGGAATGTTGTCCTGGCATGCCCAGTAAACTAGCGTATTGTTGCTCCAGGAGGACGGAATAAACGACATATTTGTCAAAGCATCCATTTTTCCCTGACTGGTGCAGTTGACATTGTAGGATGTAGCCAAAACCGGAGCGCCGGCGGGAGACAAAGAGGTAATATTGAAGGGGTAGGTTGGAGCATAACTGCATCTCACGTTGCTTAACAAACCTTGCTGATGAAGGGTGTAGTTATATGAGATCATTCCTGCTGCTATCTCGGGTTTTGAGAGAGGAGAAGGCGCAAGCGTGTCGAAAGCAGGTACTCTGTTGAGACCAATAGGCAAGATGCCTCGTACAGATCCTTGAAAATGCAGTCCAGTCTTGAAACCAAGCTGAAGGAAAGTAAGAATTTCGGTGTTGAATGTAAGTGAGTGACTCCATAATCTAAGATGAGGTGTTCAAATATTATTATAATTCATGAGGCGAACTTCTGTGATGTAACTTACTTTACCGCGACCGGCATCTAGGAAATCAGCCCCTTGGGTCGTTCCGGGACAGGTGTTGTATGTAAAATTGTCAATGACCTGAGAGAGAAAGGATCTGAAAGGTGAAGTTAGTGTGATTAGCACTTACTCGGGATCCATTTAACTTACTTGCCAGCCACAAATAGAACTGATTGGGTGCATTTCAAACCAGTAAAGACATTCGGCATCAGTCGATGAGAGGTCAATCTCAGTTCCTGTCAGACTGGCCGTCCGAATGAAGGAGGTGGGAGTGAGGAGAGTCGTGGTACTCGATATCAAGTCACAAGTGTGGAAAGATGAGGGAACAGATGATCACTGAGACTGCGGGCCACCACCTATCTTTGGTCATCAGGTACTTCGCATCTTTCATACTCTTGCCCCAAGGCCACGTCTGACGTCTGAAAGCTAATAGCACCGTCAGATGAAAGGGCCGGGTCGGTTTGCGATACGTGACCAACTCTTGGGCAAAGCGAATGATAGCGAGGGAAAATAGTTCACCGATGATCAGGGAGATAATGCTGCAAATGAATGTGATGAAATAGGTGGTGGCCTGAGGGTGGTTCCTGACGACCTTGGCGAGATGGTTGTTCATCTGTACACCTCCATTGGCCCACACCACGCCAAAGAAAATCCAAGGCCAAACTAGCATGATAGCGATGCCGATGAACGAAAGGATATCGCGTGTACTGGGCCGTGAGTTCGACTTAGCCTCTTCTTCCACAGTTTCATCTGTTAGGCCACATGCACATCAACACGATTGTGGATATTGAAGAAACAAAGCCAACCAGACGTATGATTGCTTGTTGTCTCTGGACTCCGTGGCCTGTCGGTGGCCGGGGTGGATGGACCAGAGTACAACGGTTCCAATTCGAACTGCATCGGGTGAAAGTCCTCCACTAGAGTCTAATTTCGAGAGTTGAAAATGAAGATGAACCCCGCAAAAAGAAGGGAAGATATTCAATCATATCTTACCCCGCAAGACACAGATTTAAAAATTTGGTCGCACTGCCTTGGGAACGTGCTCATTCATGCGGGGGCAACGTGGAGTAAGCAACTGACGCTGGTTCGCTTGCAAGACCGAAACGAATTCAGGACACGACAGGAGCTGTATCCGGGTATTTCCTCTTCTTTCTTCAAGCCGTTCGCAATACTTGTTTATCTGTGGTTGAATCGTAACTGCAATCATCATTTGTGCGTAGTATGGGTAAGCTCGATTTTTTGCGTCACAACAATTAACCGGGATTGAGTTTGAGATTTTGTACGACGAGCGTAGTACACGCTCAATGAAATCTTGATCAAGCCATCACCACACGGGAGAGTTCTGCTGACGATGTCAGAGCTAATTTGTACTTATTCGATCGGATGATAGTGCCGTACTTGAATTGCCAGCGTTAATTAGACAATTCTTCCTGTCAGACCTGAGGCCTGAGCGCTTGAATGACATCCTTTCTCCGACTTTCATATCTGTGATACCAGGCAGCGCTCCGCCGACATCGCGGATTCGGCGAGAAAAGCAGCCTGACCCATGAAGGGCCTTCGAAGAGCGAGCCTCGAGGAACCACTGAAACCACCTGAGCTTGAATTGAACGAGTCCGAAACAGATCGCACCTTTCCTGTCGGACTGCAGGTACGTGCTCCGGGACCCACTAGTTCAAGCCAGGACTTTGTGGTGGTCATGTGGAAGGAGATCACAAATGTTTATAGAAGAAATTCGAATCAATTGAGATAACCATGAGTACATGCAGAGGCCAATTCAGGTCGAGGAGCTGAAACCTCACGAGGTGTCTTTTTGCATGCTTGACTCCATTCGTACTGCCAGATATCAGCTCCACACCCGGAGTAGAATCACTGAGGAATGATAGTACGATTCGGCCAATAATTTCCCTTTCCTGCAGGAAAGCGTTGCCCCCTAAACCACCTCCCATGAACGGGCGTTGAACACCATGCTGGTATCGGAGTTGCACGTTGAAGACCAGGCAGCGATGCGGTGTCCTACGTCGAACGCGACCTTGATATTCCCTACGCGCTCCGAGTATACGTAGGGAAACGAAACATGTTCCTTGAAGTGCCATTAGGATCCGCATCAAAACTCACCAAAAACAATCCCAAGAGACAACTTACTCCACTCAACTTCCTTTGCCAACAAAAGGGGCCAAGTCATCTTTTGAAAAGGATATCAGTCCCATCACATATCCGAAACGAAATCGAGAAACGGACCTATGCACAGACCCTCCCTGATAACTCTTGCATCTTCATGGGTTCTATGAAAACCACCGTGTTCCCATTTATCCCCCACGGAGCCTGTAAGTAACTCGGCTGTTTACCCAGGCCAACGCAGTCGGCAGCCTATATCCTCAACCAAGAGGTCGTCATCAGACGAAAAGGGTGACTGCGAGGGATTTGGTGGAAGAGACGCTTTCAAAGAATGTTGCGCCGCGCCATACGCAAGCGTTGCGTAGGCAACTGCAGGGTGTCCCGGTGGTGAGGCAAACAAAAGGGGTGGCCTGCAGAATTAACGCTCCGACGGGGCTGAAAACGTCACCCACTTCTTCGAGCCCTTCACGGAGGTTAGATCCATCTTGTAGACTGGAAAGTTTTCGAGGTTGTTAGTTTGGAGATTGCGGTGGCCTCGGTAGCCTGACGTCGCTGTCAGGGGAACGTATTGTCAGAAGGTTGTTTGAAGTTGGTGAGGTACGATAAGGAAGACGAACCAAAAGTGAAGAACAGGACCCTGATTGTACATGTGATGTGGGTTAGCGGGCTTCAGAGTCAGAGAGAATAATGGTCGACCTTGAAAGTTTGAGTCAAGGGCTGAAAGCATCCACTGGTCTCGGACCGACGTTGTGAATGCTCACGGATAGCACAGTTCACGCTTTCCGAATTAGCGGCCTCAACGACATCCTCCTCCCCAACTGCTCGTAGTTCCGTTGCTTCTTTTCTTCATCCACAACGCGGTGACACAGGCAAGACTTCAGACAACGGCAGGGACTGGGATTCCAAGAGAGATGGGAAGAGCAGAACTTCCCCTCTTGCACGCCTATATTTCTGTTATTATCACCTCACTGCACCATTTACTTTAAACGACGAACCTCGAACTTAATTATCCCTCCCTATGAACAGCCCTCGGGCGTTTTCTAACACCCACTTCGCGGGCATCGTGAATGGCTTCCCATCGACGATACTCCCCCTCCTCGCCGTCCTCGGCCAGCCCACAGCGTGTATAAAAGGCGTCGACACCTCAGGAAGAACCACACCAAAGGTTAAACGCATAAGCTGAGTGGTGCCGCATAGAGTCGAGCCATCCTCAGGAAAGCCCATTGACGGCGTGATTCTTCGACTTGATTTGGTCATCTGAAAGTCAAGGTTACCAGGGCATTTCCACGTAAGTATGTCGGAGACTTACAACTTGTACGGACAAGGCTTTTTGATCCGAGTGAATTAAGACGTTCGTAGGATCAAAGGAGGTCTTGAGGAGGTCGAGCCACAGGCAAACTGGTCTCATACCCGGGGACCGGGGTGGTATTGGGGTATCCGCTGCTTGACTCAAGAGGTCGAGGCTCGAGAATCGGGCCCAAAAACCTGACCTTTTTGATTCAGATAGTCTTCCGGTTCAATGCCAGCAGTAGGAGACGACAAGCTCGATGAAGTGAAAACTTGGTGAGTACTTACGCTGGAGAGCGGAAGCAAGCAGCGTTGCCATTCTGTTTGGCTTTATTTCTCCAACTCTCAGCTGGTAACATTCGTTCAAGGATCTTCCGTGCATCGCTCAAGCTGTTGTATATGATCGGTAGAGTGCTGGAATCTCAATAATTTAGTGCGCTTATTCAGTATTCCTCCAGGATCTGCTTTTCAACGCTTGGTCCCACTCAGCCTGTTGTCTGCCAGATCATACCCGGGCCGGCCACCAGACTAATGGGTGACGACGAGCTCATGATGGTGGTTGAGATCAAGTTGCCTGATGTCACTTAGTTACGACTCAAAGTGCACATCGCCAATTATTATTCATAAGATTCCCATGGACATTTCTACCTCAACTTAGCATATCACCTTCCCCACAAATCCACCAACACGCACGCTGTCGGCCACTCCTTAACCGCAAATTTCATAAAGTCCTCGAACGTCCTTCCCCGATGCAACTAGTTCTCTTTGGCCGCCTAGATTCTCCACTCCCGCAGATACCCCCAAGATACCCCAGACCAGAGAAAGCGTCACTCCCCAGCCGCTCGATCCTCCCTCGATTGCGACACAACCCAAATACATGACCCGTGACGGCTCAACCTCCTGGGTTTCAACATCTAACCCACTCACTCCCACCCTTCCTAGTCAACATCGGCTCCTCATCCACCACTGCGCCTACGACCTCCCTCTCCACACACCCCCAAAACCACGTTGACCACCCAACACCGGCTCAACGCACACAGATTCAACACAATCATCTCCACCCGTTAGTCTTCCGGTCCTTCGAGCGTTCAACATATCCCTTGCGATAGCGGAGCTTCGATAAACGTCGACTCTTCGGATTTAGGATGCCTTAGTATGCGGTGAGGGTGGAGGAGAAGATGACGATGAGTATGCCGTATGCATTTGAGCTGCGTATCGTGCTGTCAGGATCCTGGTGATGACATACTCCTTGAGGCTGCTCATGCATGTAGGTTGCGAAATCTAAAGGGATATGCCGTAGTTTTGCCAGACAACTCGTGAGTCCTCAGCTTGGATTCGGTCGGGGTGACTTCTGTTCACAAATGTACTGTGTAGTCTAACCTGATTGGAACAAGAGGAGGTCAGGGCTACGACAAAAAGAGCTATTGATAATTGTTACCCACCACCGAATTGAGATTTGCGTCTGTATTTCACGGAGGTAAGGGTAACGTCCAACGAAGTTGTGGTGGGACTAGAACAAGAATAATGATCAATGGCTGGAGGTGGCGTGAGGGTATTGTACTTACCCTGTAGTCTACATGCTTGAGCGGCGTTGGCTTCGAGTATTGCATGAGGGTTAGGTATGGCTTGCAGTTCATCTTTACCTGCTTTTGCCCGAAACGAAAACCGAATGTTTTGTGGCAACGAAACGTCGGGGGATGGCTGCAACAACGTCGACATGTGGGTTTTAACGACCGAAGTAATGTCGTACTCACCTCTCTCCCAACGTCCACCGAACTTGATGTTCATGTGGAGCGCATCAAGCTACCGAAATATACCACCACAAGGGATCTACTAACGGTCGCGCGTTCTGGTTGCGTAAGCCGTACAGGGTAGTTTGAAGATGTAAGTCGTTGTTGGAGAAGTAGCGGATGGTGTTGAAACCGTGGCTCGACAGCAGTGTGTCGAGCAGGATGACGGGGTCCTTTGAGCTTGTAAGGAGCGATCAAGTTTCGGAAACGCCGTGTGGAGTGCCACTAGATGTCGGCTGTGAATGACGTTGAGTTAGTCGAGTAAACGACAAGATACGAAGTTTGAGCGTGACACACCTCAAGAAAACATTCTCCTGCTTGGAACATCGCGGGAGCAGCTGCAAACGACTGCAGGAGTAGTGAAGATGGCGATGTTGTCGACGAAGTCGTGGTGGTTGAAATCATGTGGCGAAGAGTGACTCTTTTGGTCCCTTTCAGCCTTTCTTCAAATCTGGTCCGCGCTATCAGGCCGTGGATGGCGGGGACCTCGACCCATTCATCATCCATTTCCGTCATGATTCATCCCCCACCAGAAAAAGATTGAAGAAGCCGTGCGTCCGTGTCTTCTGAAAGGTACTCCCAATGATCGACATCAGTCAGGAGGGCGGTGAGAAGGGCAAGAGCATAGTTGGAGGAGGAGGAGCTGTGGAACAGGCATGTTGTCATGTTTGAGGGGAGTGCGAAGGTCGGCTGTCGTTGATCGTTGGTTTCATCGAGGAGAAGGAGTGTGACTGAGGGAATACATCAGCAAAACGTCCGATTGAACTTTGGGCAACTTTCGCAACTTTGCAAAGTTGTGAAGTTGCGAAAGTTGCCAGAGTTCGACAACTTTGGAAAGTAAGGTACAAGAACTTTCAAAGTTGCTGAACCACTTTCCAAAGTTGAAAAACATCTTTCGGCAGCACTTTGGTATCCATCTTTCACTTTGGTAGTACAACTTTGATTCACTTATTTGTAAACTTTCGGTACTTCGGTGGGGCATAAAATAAAATTGTATTCAATCCGAATCAGATACAAATGAATACTCGGGGATACTATCCTCTACAAGGTCTGAACTGGCGAATGACGATGCTGATTGGGATCGTTTCCGCTTGCGGCTGTTGCTGAGAAACGCCGTGGCAGCCGCAAAAATCTCCGCCCAGTGCTTGTCCGTGAGGTCCTTGGCCGATTTGAGGAACCGCGAGGCGCGGGGATCGATCTTCATGAACGTCTTCCCGGAGGGACCAGTCCCTTTTGTCTCCTTCACCGTGCGGTCTCCGTAGTTGTCGGATGAGAAGTAACCGGCACTTGCCGTGCCATTGCTGTCGCGTGTCCCCGTTTGCCAGGACCTAAGTACATGTTCAACCTGAGAGAAAAGATGTCAGAGTGTTGGCGCGGTAGGCTGATGATGATGTACTTACGGCTTGTAAGGAGAGAATTATGGCACCAACAGGTTTGTTGTCCTCGTTGAGCTGAGATTGTATGTCGTCGCCGTACTCAATAAAATGGGCGTGCCCGAGGGTGTACATGATCAACGGGTTTTGAAACATACCCTTCAAAATCGTGTAAGTAGATAGGAGGTAAAATGGCATGGACAAGTGTACCTTTTTCCGAATTTTCCCTTCTTCATCTTCCTCCCATTCCCGCCACCAGAACGCAAAGTGCGGGGGGTCACCTTTGGTTGTGAGGTATGCCTTGATAAGCTCCGCCTAGTACGCTGAGTTTTCAGTGCAGCTAGCTGGGTTAATAATCGTTAGCAACCGCCGGTTGTGAATAGAAAAGACTATGGACTCACTTTACATTCTCTCCATCAGGAAAACCGACCTAGCGCGGCCAATGGTGAGGACTTGACGAATCAAATATGTTGGCACTCGAACCGACCTGCTAAGCCACCGCGCAGCAACTCCAGCTCCGAATTTTCAGCTATCAAAATGGATGTTCAGAGAGGGGCAATCTCGACGACGATCCGGCCACTCACTTTGAGATATCATATTGTTAAAACGACGTGCGTCGTTTACATTGCGTACCGTTTTCTGGTTTCAAGTATTGATAGTTGACGCTGCGCAGAAATTTGACATAACTGCTGCGAAGAGAAGGTCAGCCGAGGCTTCCATGTTCGTCAAGTACACTTGTAAAGCACTGCCTATGCATCAGTCCAATAGGCGCGTTCGGCGCTGACAGCGGACTTCATTCTCACGCATAGCCGCATCGCGCCCCTTCAAATACTCTCCAACAGCTGGGACAAACATGGGCTCAGCCGCAAACCAGCCCTTCTGATTCTCGTTACAATTTTCAATCACATTATGGGCCGCCTCCAGGTATGCTCGAACAACATTTACATCATTGATCCTGTCAGAAGTTTCATGGGGAGGGGGTGAGAGGAAAGAAGTCAAGAAATTACCTCAATACATCGACAAGAATATTCAATCTTCGTCGTTCCACGAGCTTGGGCACCACGATGGGAGCCCACTCCCGAAGAAGTGCCGTGACAGACGGATTGCAAAGCCTTTTGTCATCAAAAAGAAGAGGGATTAACCCAGGTAGGGTATCACTCTTTAAAACCCTCGTATCACTCGACCACGTTTGGTAAAGTTCAGTGGAGAGACCAGAATCGGGGTCACTAGGATACAAGGTCAACCTACGTTGTGCTACCAATACAGAGGTGATGTAATACTTACTCGAACAACGAGAACAATGCCCTGGCAGATTCCTCGTGAAGAAAGAGGATGTAGCTCAGATGCATAACGATGCTCCGAAGTGATTTGAGAGAATGTTGACGCTGAGATTGATCCTTGTGTAATCGTAAAGCGGAGCTCAGAATATCTGGGTTCGCTTTCACAAGTCGTTCGTGCTCAAATGAGCCGCCCTTGGCGAGCACTTGAATGGTTGCTTCAACAGCAGCGATACCCACATCCCCACCATTTCTGGAATTCAATCGATGTTTCAATGAACGCAGTCAGGGTGAAAATTATCGCCAACTTACAATACAAGATTAAGCAGCTCCGCTTCCTTTTTGTTTGACAAAAACGTAAATGACTTGAAACCGAGGACCGGCTTTCCAAACTATGCAGCAACATTGGGAGCATGCAGCCACGGGATACTTCTGAAGTTTTTGCCAGTACTGATATTGCTTGAGATGCTGCCTCGCGTACGTTTCCCCGGTCATTTCTAATCTTTGTGAAAAACGGATATATCAGCTGATAAAATCGGCAACTTACTTGAGGCTGTCAAAGAGTATATCGATCTCAACTCGATTTTCTAGGTACGGAGCCGCCTTCGGGAGGATGCGACACCACAGGTCACGAATATCATCGTTGTCAGCTGTCAGGCGATGAAGAATGCGAACGACAGAGGCTTTAGCCATGTTCTCCATGTTGCCATAGCGCGAATCAATCGCATTTCCCAGGGCCCGGACTGCTGAAATATGAAGCCGAGGCTCTGCATGTTCCAGTAGCGGAAACAAGGTGGCTCCGCCGTCATCTTGAGTGAATGAAGGGCCGAGCAAAGGAAGAAGACAGTTCGACATAAATTCAAGTAGATCATCCTTAGCTGGGGCGTATGCTTGGAGAGTCTCTGATACTGACCAGCACCAGTACCTCCTCTCAAAAGCTCAACCCTCAGCGCACCTCCTGCCCTCGACACTCCGCGCCCTACTTCAGCTGGTGGCGAGCTCTGCTCCATCACAACTTCTCCCCCGTAAGTGGTATCTAGCATTCGCTAATTCCCTGCTATAAACACCCCTCCACACAGCCATCAAAGGGGTGCACGCTACCATGCATCTTTATCCTTCCGCCGGCCTCGCTCAAGGTGGACTCGGTGTGGCCGAAGAATAGGAGATTGAAAGAGAACCCAATGTATGGATCTGTATCGAATTTTGTAACAGGCGACAAGGGAGAGAGAGAGGCTTGGAAGATACTGCATGAGCAGGAGGCCAACGAACTCCCTCTGCGGGCGGCTAAGCCGTGCCTTGGCGCTGGAGAGTGGCGATTCATTGAAGCCAACACAAGTGGAGGATGACGTTCGACTTCCACATCACTGCGAACCTCAGCCCGACCATCATCAACTTTCCTCCTGCTTGGCGCAGCCTCACACATCCTCCTCTCCAGGTTATTCGAAATGTCCTGTTCAACAAGAAACAAGACTCGCCTCCCCAACCCGCTTGAGCCTCTCCACCTCCCTCGCGAGATTTCTGTACTCGCGGCTCCATTCCCCCTTCAACTCCAACCTTTCGGACATCCGATGCCATCTGGTTCGCTGCCCGCCTAGCAGCAGCCACCCTTGACCACTTCATCCTCTCTCCCTCCGCAATAGGCTCGTCGATCCGTCGTTGCATTTTCCACGTCTGGTTGGAGAGCAACAGACGATCGTAGAAAGCTTTGAATGCATTGAAACATTTTCGACGCTTTGGTGAACTGAAGTCTGCCTTGTGTCTTTCCGGTTCATCAACAAAAGCCGCTCGCATAAGTCAGAGAACGCTGAGCTGACGGGGCTAGGCGTGCGATTCTGATTCGCAGAACGTTGGGCGGACGTGATCGCAGGGCGGAGTGTTATAATAACGCGCAGAAGGGTTGCCCTTTGTCCACACCACGAGGAGGAGGTTACGCGGAGTTTGGAGTGCATATTCCGTTCTAGCTGTCGATCGAGCCCCTGGAGTCTGCGAGGACTTGGTTGGCTCTGGCTGCGAGGTCGTGAGGGTGTGATATCGCTATAGATGAAGGTGGTGTGTGCTGGTGTGTTGCGGGTCAAGGTGTGTTGGGAGCGCAAGCTCAGTTAGGGCAAAGCAAATTCCGAATCTTAGTCTTGTCTGCATAGTAGCAATGTCAATATTTTCTCGGAGCGCTTGTAACCATTGATGTAGTCCGATGCTGAGTGGAAAGAGAGGGGAACGCGACGCCTATGAAAGAGCGAGTGGTGTTCTTGAATAATACCAACAATGAAGTTTGAACTCCAACCCGTTGGCGTCGGCGTGATTTTGGTTTTGGTTCGAAATGAGGTTCGGCTAGGAGACATCCAAATATTCACAGCTGGATAACGGGAAAAGAAGGGACATTGTGGTGCATGATGTGGATGAACTTGGGACGAACGCGGCGTAGAAAAAGTCATGGATGAAAATGGACAAATGTGCTGGAGCAGAAACGCGGAGCAGGCAACACAAAGTCGATTTTCTTGTCCTGTGTTCGTTCAATGAATCGACTACACGACATCAGCATCGCAATCACTGCAAAAAAGAAGACATACCATGTATCGCCTCAATTCCCCACCAGACGACTCTCTTCGAACTCACTGTTCACGACAACAACTCTGTGTGGGTGAATGCACGGCTGTGACGACAAGTAGCCCGTAGGAGAATCGTTGTCATGAGTTGCACATAGTAGCATAGAGGATGTGCCGGAATCTGCAGGGGAATTTGAACAGAATGTATGTGGCAAATTACGCCAGGTGGATAGGGTACCGCTCGCAATCCGCCATGGTCCTAACCTTCGAGGGGAGAGCCATGTCAGAAAACTGCTGAAACCGTGGCAATGATGCCTCACGAAAGACGCAATACTCGTGCTTACCTTCTTGGTCATCGTATACCTCTCCTGCCTAACGTATGTTTGTACTCCACCCGACTCCTGAGATGCCGTCGTCGAGCAGGGACTTAGATATTTAAGAGTGAGATGCCTGCGTTTCTGAGGTTATTGTACGCCGCAAGCAAGCCGTTGGGTGAGATGTGAGGTTGGCGTCCCATGAGGTTGACGGAGAGTAGTCATGCACTTGGGTTTGATTATGGTTACCCAAGTATGTCACCGTTCCATAGGTCTGCGTCGGTGGCATAGTATCGTATCTTCAAAGCTCGCAAGAAAGAGGATGTTGAGAGTGCCCTAATGGTGAGGTGCTTTGCTTTGTTTCTTGAAAAAAACTCGGTCAAGTGAACATTCACGTATGAGTCTGGTGTACCTTTATTTCACAAATAATTCCTCTAGTTGAAGCAATGTCCGAAGACAGCATGAGCAGCGCCGAGGCCAATTGTGACGACGAGCTCATGATGATGGTTGAGATCAAGTTGCTTGATGTCACTTACGACTCAAGTGCACATTGCCGATTATTATTCGTAATAAGATTCCCATTGACATTTCTAGCCATTCTCCTCAACCGCAAATTTCACAAAGTCCTCGAACGTCCTGCCCCGATGCAACTGGGCCACCAGTTCTCTTTGGCCGCCCAGATTCTCCACTGCCGCAGATACCCTCCCCAGACCAAAGAAAGTGTCACTCCCCAGCCGCTCGATCCTCCCTCGATTGCGACACAACCCAAATACATGACCCGCGACGGCTCAGCCTTCTGGAATTCAACCACCCCTTCCTAGTCAACATCGGCTCCTCATTCCACTGCGCCTACGACCTTCCTCTCCACACCCCCAAAACCGCGTTGACCACCCAACACCGGCCCAACGCACACATATTCAACACAATCATCTCCACCCGTTAGTCTTTCGGTCCTTCGAGCATTCAACATGTCCCTTGCGACGGCGGATCTTCGATTTGGGGATAAACGTCGACTCTTCGGATTTACGATGCCTTCGTATGCGGTGAGGGGGAAGGGAAAGATGACGATCAGTATGCTGCCGTATGCATTTGAGCTGCGTATCGTGGTGTCAGGATCCTGGTGACGATATACTCCCTGAGGCTGCTCATACGTGGTAGGTTGCAAAATCTGAAGGGAGGCGACAAAGCCATGTCAGGGCAAAGACGGTGGTGTGCATGAGCGTCACGGAGATGGTCTAGGCTTTCAATAGGTCGATTTGAGGGGAGCAAGTGGGCTGGATGGGGTGCGCCGTAGTTTTGCCAGACAACTAGTGAATCCTCAGCTTGGATTCGGTCGGGGTGGCTTCTGTTCATAAATGTACTGTGTAGTCTGACCTGATTGAAACAGGAGGAGGTCAGGTCTACGACAAAAGGAGCGCTTGATGAATGTTACCCACTCACAAATTGAGATTCGTGTCTGTATTTCGCGGAGGTAAAGGTAACGTCCAAGGATTTCTTCGAAGTTGTGGTGGGACTAGATCAAATATAAAGATCAATGGCTGGATGTGGCGTAGGGGCATTGTGCGTACCCTGTGGTCTACGTGCTTGAGCGGCGTTGACTTCGCGTAGTGTGTAAGAATAAAATGCCGCTCGCGGTCCATGACGGGAATGAAAACCGAACGCTTGGGGTATCGTCGGGGAATGACTACAACAATGTTAACATGTAGTATTGAAGGACAGAATGTCATACTCACCTCTCGCCCAACTCCCAACTCCCAACTCGATGTTCATGTGGAGTACATCAAGCTGCCGAAATACACCACGAGAGATATAGGGAGGGAGACATCAACGGTCGTGGAGTTCTTGTTTGCCGTAAGCCGTAGTAGCGGGAGGATTCGTGCAATTGGGCGGCTGATCGAGAGCGTACTGGGGTCCTTGAATCAGCAGCTCGACAGCAGTGTCGGGCAGGATAATAGCGGGTCCTTCAACTTGTAAGGAGCGAGAAAGTTTCGGAACGCTTAGTGGGGTGCCACTAGCTGTGTGCTGTAAGTGTCGTTGAGTCAGTCAAGTGAACCGTACGAAGTCAGAGCTTGACGCACCTTGATTCTACAAAACGTTCTCTTGCTTGCAAGATCGCGAGAGCCGTAGCAAACGAGTGCAGGAGTAGTGAAGATAGCGGTATTGTCAACGAGGTCGTGGTGGTTGAAATAAAGAGTTTTCCTGTGGTCGAGAGTATCTGTAAGCTTCGTCTTAGTATATCCAACAGTGGAATTAACACCTCGCTGACCAGAACGTTCGAAAGAGCTGCCACCTCACGCCGCCGACTCCATCGTTGGTCATTCTCTCGCTCTTTTCGTCCATCTATCCACCACCTATCCACCAACTCCGGCGTTGCATACTCGAGGATGCCTCACGACGGTCTTCCAGCCTATGGTACCATTGCCCCACCAGGCCCAGTTCAACAAACTCCGCAGAACTCCGCTCCTCGACCGCATACCTCGCGTTTCAAGTCTATTTCCAGCCGGAATTGCGACCTCACTCCACGGAATTGCCCTGTCACATTGGACTCGTCCTCGGCATGCCTTAAAATGTTAAGAGCGGTGTTGACGATACAGAGGCGGTGGAAAAAGGGTTTGAGTTCAACGTCACAGAGGGTCGTTGCTGATGCGGTGTCAGCTGAGGAGTTCATCATCCAATTTTTCAACCAACGTCGATGGCGAGACCCCCTTTGGAAGACGGCAACTTGCGGGGACCGTTAGGAGGCGTCAGGCAAAACCTCGAATGTTGTGGAAGCCGATTGACAGGGAAAGGGAGGAAGCGAGTGGGGTACCAGAATATGTTCGGCCGCTGCAACTCGACTTTCACTGTCTTTGTCCCTCTCAGCCGGAGAAAGTCTGGTCCGCGCTATCGTTGATGGCGGGGACCTCGACCCGTCATGATTCATCAAAACGAAAAAGCCGTGCGTCTGCGTCGTCTGAAAGGCACTCTGAATGATCGACATCATCAGGAAGACGGTGAGAAGGACCAAGAACATAGTTGGTGGTGGGGGAGCTGTGGAACAGGCATGTTGTAAAATTTGAGGGAAATGTGAAGGTCGGCTGTCGTTGAGCGTTGGTTTCATTGAGAAGGAGTGGGGCATGTGGGTGTGTGAGGGAATACACTGGAATTTCAGTGCAACCAGTTGGGTAGATAATCCTTAGCTACCGCCGGTTTGGAATAGAAAAGACTAGGAACTCACTTTACATTCTCTCCATCAGGCAAACCGACGTAAGCACGGCCAATTGTGAGGACTCGACGAATCAAATATACTTCGAACCGACCCGCTAAGCCACCGCGCAGCAACTCCGGCTTTGAAAAAAAAGAGTTTGCAGCTTTGAAAATGGATATTCAGAGAGGGGCGAACTCGACGATGATCCGGCCACTCACTTTGAGAAACCATATTGTTGAGACGAAACCAAGAGACGTGTAGATTGCGTACCGTTTTCTACTGAGACTTGACATTGCGCAGCGAAATCTGCCATGACTGCTACGAGAAAGAAGGTCAGCCAGGGCTCCCACGTTCGTAGAGTACCCTCGTGAAGCACCGCCTATACATCAGTCCAATAGGCGCGTTCGGCGTGACAACGGACTTCATTCCGTCGTCATGAGCCCTGCAGGTGCCATACAGAACCAACACACTGGAAAGTTGAGCCCACTCACCAAAGACAGTAAACTACCGAAGAATGACAAAGACGAAGAAGATGACTCCGAGAGTCCGAAAAGCCCGGGCACGTTTGCAATCATTTGTAAAAATAGACACAGGCACGCCTTCACCTCGTGGCGTGATTGGGGGTCTGGGTTTGGGCGCTATCCTTTCTTCCCCTCCCTCATCCTGAACCTCCATCTTCGATATCTCAACATGAGTGGAACGAGCTTTTTTCCGCGCGCTCACCACTTTGTTGCTCGCGACAATACATTCATTGAAGCTAACCTGACTGTGAGTGGAATGTTTGCTGAAGGTATCCGTCAAGCAAGCTGACAGCGTTGGATCGGTTGCAGGTCAACATCCATGGCAATAGGACGACGGGGGTCATTCCCCTTATGCCAAATTCGAGCACTCGGTTCACTGGGCGTACAGAAGCCATCAAGAAACTCAAGAGGCATTTTTCTACCAACCCAGGTGATGTAGTTCAGAAAAGAAAGCTTTTCTTGTTATATGGAATGGGGGGTATTGGAAAGACTCAGATTTGCTTAAAGTTTGTTGAGGAAATGTCTGACTGGTGAGTACCTATTGTACACCAGTCTGGCCCTACTTGAGAAATTGAATTGTCCCCAGCTTCTCTCAAGTTTTCTGGGTTGATGCATCCTCCTTAGGTACCATCATGCAGGCACTGAAAGGTATTAGTCAGTCTTGTGGATTGGATGGCTCATCTGAGTCTGCTCTCTGGTGGATTGGCTCTCTGAAAGAGAATTACATCCTGATCTTTGACAATGCTGATGTTCTGTCACCTGCTGCACTGGAGGGATATTTCCCACCTGGAGTGTGGGGAAACATTCTGATTACTAGTCGTAACTCTGCCATGATGACTCTGACTTCACGTCAGAATTCTCTTGAAGTGACTGAAATGGAAGATAGGGATGCTATTGAACTACTTCTGAAAGCTAGTTGCTTGGAATCATCCACATCAGATGTTCAAATCCAAGCCTCTAAGATTGTAACAGAGCTCTTCTGGTTTCCTCTTGCTATTGACCAAGCTGGTGCTTATATTGCTTCTGGGGCCACCACTATTGGAGACTACCTAGCAAAATATTCAGAGCACCAAAAAACATTATTATCACATTCTGAGTTTATTGGAGCCTCTAAGTATAATAGAACTGTCTATGAAACTTGGGAGCTGTCATACAAAGAAATTCAACAAAGGGCTAAATCAGATGATTCTTATAAGGCCAATGCAGCCAACAGTGCAATGCTACTTCTAGAATTATTTCCTTTCTTCCATCATGAGGAAATATCTGAGGAAATCTTTTCTCATGCTGCCCTTCAAAAAGATAATAAAACTCCTATGTTGGGTTTACCTCTTGCCAGTTCACTGTTGGACAGAAGATTGCTTCCTCTTTGTGAGACAGGTACTTGGGATAATTTCATTTTTAGAGAGGGAATTCGAACATTACTGTCTTTTTCTTTAATCAAGAAGGGCCTATCTGATAATGCATATGCAATGCATCCACTGGTTCATACCTGGGGCAGGGACAGATTGGCTTTGAATGAAAGGAAAAAGTGTTGCTTAATGGTGTATGTCACATTGTCTTGCTCACTAAGATGGAATGCAGACCAGCCATATGCATTCCAGAGGACCTTGGTAACACATGTGAGAGTGAATATGGAGTATTTAAAAGCAGAAAGCAATCAGAATATCATCAGTTACATGGATGATGCTTATGAAAATTTTGGGACACTGTTGAGGGAACAAGGATATTTGAAAGAAGCAGAAACTTTGCAAATTAAAGTTCTGGATGCAAGGAAGAGAATTCTTGGAGTGGAACACCCAGACACAATTGAAGCCATGGCAAATCTAGCAGTAACATATCAAAGGCTGGGAAAATACACAGAGGCAGAGACACTGGAGATCCAAGCTCTGGATGCAAGAAAGAGAATTCTTGGAGTGGAACACCCAGAGACAATCAGAGCCATGGCAAATCTAGCAGTGTCATATGGAGACCTGGGAAAATACACAGAGGCAGAGACACTGGAGATCCAAGTTCTGGATGCAAGGAAGAGAATTCTTGGAGTGGAACACCCAGACACAATCCTTGCCATGGCAAATCTAGCATGTTCATATGGAAACCTGGGAAAATACACAGAGGCAGAGACACTGGAGATCCAAGTTCTGGATGCAAGGAAGAGAATTCTTGGAGTGGAACACCCAGACACAATCGAAGCCATGGCAAATCTAGCATTGTCATATGGAAACCTGGGAAAATACACAGAGGCAGAGACACTGGAGATCCAAGTTCTGGATGCAAGGAAGAGAATTCTTGGAGTGGAACACCCAGACACAATCCTTGCCATGGCAAATCTAGCATCTTCATATGGAAACCTGGGAAAATACACAGAGGCAGAGACACTGGAGATCCAAGTTCTGGATGCAAGGAAGAGAATTCTTGGAGTGGAACACCCAGACACAATCCTTGCCATGGCAAATCTAGCATTGTCATATGGAAACCTGGGAAAATACACAGAGGCAGAGACACTGGAGATCCAAGTTCTGGATGCAAGGAAGAGAATTCTTGGAGTGGAACACCCAGACACAATCTTTGCCATGGCAAATCTAGCATTGTCATATGGAAACCTGGGAAAATACACAGAGGCAGAGACACTGGAGATCCAAGTTCTGGATGCAAGGAAGAGAATTCTTGGAGTGGAACACCCAGACACAATCTTTGCCATGGCAAATCTAGCATCTTCATATTCAAACCTGGGAAAATACACAGAGGCAGAGACACTGAAGATCCAAGTTCTGGATGCAAGGAAGAGAATTCTTGGAGTGGAACACCCAGACACAATCTTTGCCATGGCAAATCTAGCATCTTCATATTCAAACCTGGGAAAATACACAGAGGCAGAGACACTGGACATCCAAGTTCTGGATGCAAGGAAGAGAATTCTTGGAGTGGAACACCCAGGCACAATCTTTGCCATGGCAAATCTAGCATCTTCATATTCAAACCTGGGAAAATACACAGAGGCAGAGACACTGGAGATCCAAGTTCTGGATGCAAGGAAGAGAATTCTTGGAGTGGAACACCCAGAGACAATCAGAGCCATGGCAAATCTAGCAGTAACATATCAGAGCCAGGGAAAATACACAGAGGCAGAGAAACTGGAGATCCAAGTTCTGGATGCAAGGAAGAGAATTCTTGGAGTGGAACACCCAGGCACAATCTTTGCCATGGCAAATCTAGCATCTTCATATTCAAACCTGGGAAAATACACAGAGGCAGAGACACTGGAGATCCAAGTTCTGGATGCAAGGAAGAGAATTCTTGGAGTGCAACACCCCCATACCATTCTAGCCATGGAAAACTTAGCAGCCACCCTTAGAAGTCTGGGAAAGTACACATAGGCAGAGAAGCTAGTCATCCAAGTTAAGGCAGTCAAAAGCAGAGTTATTGGAGCAACATCCCACCATGAAGATGTCACCATGACCAATGTCCAAGAAACTGAGGAGACTTCAAGAATGAATTCTGACAAAAAAGGTGTGTACTCATATTAATTACTTTCTAAACCAACTCTCATGTTTATATAATTAGTATATTCTTTGTCCAATCTTGTAAAGAAAACTTCAAAAATCATGTCTAAAATAGCACATCCATTTCATAAGAAGAACACTCAACAATGATGAATTAACAGGAACTAGTTTTTAATCCCCTCCCACAATGATTCCATGCTTCTTAGTGATATTCTATCCTGTACTGATGTCTTGATATGCTGTTTAGTATATTGAATGGAATATTTTTGTGTGACTGTTTTAATTAACAAGTGATTTAATGTAAGTATATCAAAATTATTTCATACTTTTACAGACTTTGAAGAAAATTGGCCCATGACATTGGTGATATTCTTCTGAGAATGAAGGACAAATTTCACTACAACTTCACTGTGATATGTTTACAGTCATCCACCAGCCAATGAGACACCACCATCATTTGAGACACTTTTGCCTACCTAATATCTCACTCAATACTACACCAATTTTTACAAAACAAATTTTAACATGTAGTGAAAGCTCATATCTACCAGTCTACAAATTTTGGATGCAGTCAAGGCAATATTGACAATGCTGTGGAGTTTTCAAAATGGACTCTTTTCCAGAAGTAGCCGAAATACAGTCACACTACTCATTGAGACACCCATAATATTAGTTTTTCTTCATGAAAGGTTGTTCAAACATTCTGAAACTTGGCACAGTTATAAAAGGGTATTTATCTCAGATTTTCATGTAGTTTTTGTAGTGAAAGGTTGTGCTTAAATTTGTTGAAGTTAATTTTCCAATTTTGGTGTCTCATTAGCCGGTGGATGACTGTAGAACTTTCACAGGACTTTTGCAGGCACCAGGTTAGCTATATATACACAAGTGGAATCAACCAACAGAGGACTCCTGACATGTGGCTCAAAAGTTGGACCACAAAATGAACAGATTTCCTGAAAATATGGAACACAAAAATTTAGGTTGGTGCTGGAAGGCCACATTCATTGCGTGGACAGAAATGTCATGATGCCAGGAGGCTGGGTACCAGAAACAGACAGATATCCAAGCAGGTATGTGATAGATGGTAGCTTTGGGGTTCAATCCCTGAGGTATAGTTGTTTTGTATTTTCTCACTCCATTTATTATTATTTTTGAAATACATTTCTGTTCTCCCTGAGCATGCAATAAATCACACCATTGGCTCTTAATTTAATTATTATGGTAGGTGTACAGTCACAGACAATCAAACTCTGCTTATTTTTGTGCCCCTTTTTGTAACCATCAAACTGAGTCCAGAGCCTTGGTAGAGTGAAAATATACTAGCATTGAATATTAGAAGAATATTTTCACTGGCTGTGAGGGTAGCACAGAGTCCTCACTTTTGATGTGCTTTTGAATTGATTTCACTTCACTTTCAAGTTTGATTTTGGACATGGCAACTTCTGAAAGTGCTGTTCAACTCTGATCATACAGTTGAAAGCAATGTGAAAGCAAGCCAAAGCTAAATGCCAAGCTTGTCAGAGTTTGAATATGATAGTCACAAATTATGTAGTGGGCATAATCCCATCCATTCCCTCCATAATGTCTAATATGCCTACGTGTACAGAGAGACAACAAGCAGCAGATGCCTTGCATCAAGCTTTCCTTGTAAATTTCATTGCTGAGCTAGAGAGCTGTGAATTTGAGGATGGCGAGGACTGTGATTGGGACAAAGATATGTCGAGCTCCTCCTCTGCCTCAGGCTCTTCCTCTTCCTCCTCTGATGATATGGATCAGCCTACACCAGCTGAATGCTTTGTGGATCATATGGCTGATCTCTATTCCCAGTGCTACATCAATGCTCATTGATCAATCCGAAAAACTACAGAGCAGATGCAACTGCTTCTTGGAGACTACAAACATAACAGGCCTGAAATTTTCAGATTGTATCTACACATAACCCCAGCTTGTTTTGACAAGCTTGTCTCTGCCATTTAAGATGAGCCTGTCTTCCACAACAGTTCTCCAAACGATCAGATGCCTGTTGTGGAACAAGTAGCTATAGCTTTATACCACTTTGGTCATTATGGGAATGCAGCATCTGTGATGAAGGTTGCATTACACTTTGGGATTGGCTATGGGACAGTAAATCTTGTCACAACTCGAGTCTTCAAAGGCTGCTGCTCTGAATGGTTTCATTCTGCCTCCATCCAATCAGCTAGCCCACAGGCAAAGGCTTGGGTTGAGGAGAATTCCTGTCCTGCCTGGCGTGATGGCTGGCTTATGGTTGATGGTACTCTTGTACCTCTTTTTCAACAGCCAGGTTTCTATGGGAATGTGTGGTTTGACTGAAAATTGAATTACTCAATGAATGTTCAGGTAAGCTGCAATCCCAGTTCCATAACAAGTAAGATTGAAAACCTGATCTTTTTTTCAGCTAGTTTCTACACATGACTGTCAAATAATTGATTATGTGGTGGGGTTGCATGGCAGTCAACATGATGCAGCAGCCTGGGAAGAAACATGGACCCACCACCACCACAATCACTTGCTGAAGAAAGGTGAATGGGTTTGGGCAGACTCTGTGTATCCATTGGAAAGTTGGTGCCAGGCACTGTACAAAAAGTGAGCCTTGAATAATTAATTATAAACATGCATCTGATCTGGAATTAGGCCTGAAAAGCTGACTTAAGAAAATACCATTTACAATTACCATGTTTTAGCTGTACAAGTGCGTTCAGAGCATTGAGTTGGCTACTTGAAAGGCTGGTGGTCCTCACTAAAGGGCTTGCGTGTTGCAGTCAACAATGACAAGGGAATCCAATATGTGACACTACGGATTATGGCATGCATACACCTACATGGATTTGCTATGAAACACGAGGCTGGTCAGGATGTATTGCACAATAAATTTTACAAGAAGGGAAGGAAGCATCAGAAGACACAATGGAAGAAGTAACATAACTGGAGAAGAGGATGGGGATGACAATATCCCATTATTGGAGGGAAAGTTGAAGTGGGAAGAATTAAAGGAGGCATTACAGGGGTTTCTTGTGGGGCAAGGGTTTGATATGTAGTGCTTAATAGGAAAACAATTAGTTGATAACAAAAAGATGAGGGGTATTAAAACAGTATTAGTGGAGAGAGGGGTTGATTTGTGGTGGGAGGCCCACCATACTGTCGGCCAGGTTGTCATTGAATCCCACAGTGTCCACCTTTGTAATAGGTGTTTCATGAGCTAATGAAATGGTGTGGGTCTTCTACCAACAACAGGTGAGCTGGAGAACATATGTACACCAATACTGTACCATTTTGATCAATTTGGCAGTAACACATAACACCAATTTTTTTTGACCCCAGATTAAATTTTTTCTCGATTTGTCCGATTTTTCTCGATTTATTGAAAACACAAAAAAGTCATGTGACTGCCGAATTGATCAAAATGGTACAGTATTACACTGGTGTGAGATCAGATGTAAGTTCTGGTCTATTCTCACGAATACTTAGCAGACATCATTAGCACTTTGGATGTCTGTTGCACAATCCCTGCTCCTTCTCAGGATGTCCTCGAGAAGGTAGTAGACAGGAGAATATAGTTAGTACTGCATCTAGTAGTTGAATACCTCTAAGAGAGTATTTAGTGACTTCACTAAACTCAAAGCACTTACTATACTTCTTGAAAGATTGCGGTATGATGCAATTCTTGATGTAGAGTATACGGCAGTGGTGGTTCAAAGAATAGAAAAAAGGTATGTGACATGTGTGTGACTATGAGTATATAATACAAGTTGAATCATGATTGCATAAGCAAATGTTATGAATGAAGTATCAAAGTAAAGTGTTCAATGTACGCCTGTTGGTTCATGAAGTGGAAATTATATATTGAGTAGAGCATCTGTTACAATCTACTCCACTTCCTAGCTTGGAAGATAATCCAATGAGCAAGGGGGTGGCAGAACGTGGAAAATGTACCAACACTCCCTATTTTTCTTTCGTGGATTTGGTTGACCTCCCCCCCTCCCCCTGCTACTATATAAGGTGTGTTTTCCAAGTTCTGATGTTTTTTGAATTTTTTTCTTTTGTCACATGGTCCCACCTTCTCAAAATTCCTAGGAAGCTGGGCGGCAGCCTGCCAGTCACTGGAAACTCACAAACCTTCAACTCACAGTTGAAAATGCTTTGCATACAAATCTTTGCATGGAGGAACATATATTATGTGACAGAAAGCGGTGAGTTTTACAAACTGTCAAGAGCATATTTACATGCAAAAATGTGACATAAAAAAACTCATTCAAATGAATTTATGTTCAGCTCAGCCATGGCGTACAAAGCAGCTTTGTCTCTGCTTTCATCAACAAGAGCCTTCAATAAATTCTTTCTCTCTTAAGGAGTTTGTTTGGAGCTTTGAATACAGCCTGAACACAATTTTGGTGAGTAAAATTGGAGTAAAATGTCTGCAAGGAAAAAAAAAGTTCCCTCACTCCACCTCATCCTCTATACTTATGTTCAACCCATCACGGCATCCATGGGCATTCTGATAGCCTACACTCCCTTCACCATTGCAGACATCGTAAGTACCTGCCTGGCTCTCAGACAGACACTTTTATTGGCTGTTGCTTGGGCAATTTGCGACAAAAATAGACCATGTCACCAACAGGTCACTATTTTTTTTTCGGCCTTCGGCCAGAGCCCCCTCCCTCCCAGCCAGTGTTCAGGATCCACATTCCGCCACCCCCTTGCCAATGAGCCCAGCTTGGAACCCAAGCTCACATACCCCCTGCTGTGGCAATGATGATAATTATGTTTCTGATTCAATGTCAATATATACTGATGCAATTTTGGCAGGGCCTCCTCTGTATTGGCTCAAAGATGGCTGCTTTGCCACCATGAGACTGAGTCTTCGTCTGATCAACACCTGCCCAAATTTCCATGATGGCAAGTACTAAAATAAGCACAGGGAGTTCAAGGGGGTGGTCAGAGATCTGGTTAAGGTCCAACTCAGTTTTGCAGTGGTGGAAGTGCCATTTCCAAACTTGATACCTAAAAGGCCAAAGTTGTTACTGTGTTTGACAGCCAACATAAGGGGTCACTGGTTTGGCATAAAGGCATGTTTGTTGGTGCATTCCACATGTGTTGAAAATCAGTCTCAAAAGTTCTTCTTTACCTAGACTGCACATAGAATGAAAAGGGAAGGAAGCTATAATAAAATGAAAATGCACAAAAAATCAAAGAAAAAGGGGAAGTTGTGTGAGTGAAGTTTAAACCACTCTGCACTTCCGCACAGGGTATATGTCCAGCATTCTATTTGCCAGAGCACCCTTGGGGTTGTCCAGAACATTGATAACCAGCCTGACCCTCCATACTCACAAATTTGCAGGTCCAAATCTTCTCAGCATTTCATGGTATGACAGAAGACATGATACCATTACCACAGCACCGAGGATAGCAACAGTAATACAAAATACAACAATGCTAGCTACACAAAGACCAATTTTGTAGACTTGGGGTATATGTGACCTTATCCCATTACGGCCACGGGGAGATGAGAAGTATTGCCCCGCTACACAATACAAACCTCGATAGTTGTAGTCGAGATAGGGTGTTGCGAAAGCCGAATCAGATTCCAGAGTTAATCAAAAGCCCCATCGGTGACATCAAAGATGCCCCTATAGAGGAAAAAAAAGTCAGCATCTTGGAGCTTGTCACCAGATTTGAGAAAACCCACTTTGCCGGCAGCTTCCTAATTTCATACCTTACCCTCACAAGTATTAGTTACCTTACCCCACTAATACTGAGCCCCCCGACCATACAAACAGACCATAGTTGATGGTGCCTGCTGATGAGCCCATGGATCAGTTGACCCCATCAAAGGTGGACCGGCCATCAAGACTCTCTTAGGACTGGTACTGTGCATCGGCTGAGAAGTGTACCCCATGAATTGACATAGCTAAAAATGCCTTGGATCCTGGGTCAACCGATCTCTTCATGGATTGGGCTCAACATGTGTCATGGGTCAGCTGAAGAGCTCTAAATCCCATGCATTGTGGATCAGCCCACAGCCATCTCATTTTTATTTGCCAAGTTTACCTCGGCTTTTCATTGCCGGTCATCATGCAGTTTACTGGGTCGGGTCCATCACCTACGAAGAAGCCGAGCACGGTGACATGGTCAGTCAGCTAGTACCCCATGAATTAAATATGCCTTGGATCCTGGGTCAACCCGTCTCTTCATGGAATGGGCTCATGTGTCATGGGTCTGCTGAAGAGCTTTGAATCCCATGCAGCGTGGATCAGCCCAACCTGGTCCCATCCAGTTGACACTATACGGCCGAGTTTCGTCTTCACTCAGGTTTTATTTGTGCCATTGCTCAAACATTACCTCGGCTTTTCTTTGCCGGTCATGGTCCAGTATTCGGTCATGCAGTTTATTGGGTCCATGACTTCCCAAGAAGCCAAGCACGGTGACGTTCACAAGGCAGTGAGATATATTATGCACACCCCCGGTTCAAAATCCCTACCAAGTTTATACCGACCAATGTTTCTTGTAAACATACCCATGTTGGAATGGGTCTGGCTCAAACAACCGCACTCGGCTGCCTGAAATAAACGCCAAGCTGTTACTATGCCGGTCTCCATTGGACAAAGTTGCTCCAAGATCCCCCTGCTTTTCTCTGCCGGTCACAGTTTACTGGGTCGTGAAAGAAGCCGAGGCCTTACTGCTTTCATTATTATGTCCACCACAGGACTTCATATTAAATATGCCCAAAAAAAAATTGAAGATTGTCCAAAAAATATACATGTATGCTACTAACTATTAAGTAGACGGAGTTTGGACAGTTTGGACATCATTGTTTGTAACTTGCTGGCAGTCAGATTTTTGAATCCTCACCAAGTAGAAGACTTACTCTGTGCGGGGGTTTGAAGTGTGGGTTCGAGTTTCTGTAGCCGAGGTGACTTCCTATTACCCCCAATGTAAGGACCGGGCGAACTTGCCCGGGTTGGAGGAATTGGGTTTGGCGCCAACAGAAGGACCGCTGGGCTCTCAGATGCTGGAGGCAGAAAGACGGCCGGGGTTGGAGAGACTTGCGCGTGATCGGTTGAAACTGGGTTTGGCAGAACGACACCCGGGGTCGGGGAGACTTGTACCTGCTGGCTTTTCTGACCGCGGTCGGGTGAGACTGAGCGATCGGTATTGATGCCAGTGTGCTTCTTCTCCTTGTTGCCGAGGAACTGGATAATGAGCGATTCCAGACTTGATTGGCGAGCACCGAGCCGCAGGTTGAGCTCCGAAATAGTAGTGACTGATTTGGTGAGGTCGTGGAGCATTAGCTCGGCAGTTTCGATGCGGCTTGCAAGTTTCTCAAAGCCCCGGGTGAGACTCTCTTGTAACGCAGCTGGCGTAGTCTCCCACTTGTTCTCCAGTGTCTTGACGGCTTCCCTCACCTCGGCTTCCAGTCTCTGGTGATCACTTCGGATGGACTGCAAATCTTCTTGTGTTTCCTTCCAACGCATGTGGGCAGACTCTTCAATACGGTCCATCTGGCGAGTCGCTCCAGTGATTTTTTCTTTCTGAAACCAAACAGAGGTCTCTAGACTTGCAATTTTCTCTGACAGAGGACGGCTAGCCAAATCTTGATCTTGAATACACTGGGTAATCTCTTCGAGCGCCAAAAGACGTTGTGACAGGGTCACAGGTGAGTCAACCGCCAGGGGGAGAAGGGCACTTGCGTCAATATCTTGTTTTCGGACCACAAATGCCAAATACTCTCGCATAGTAGGGGTAGACGACTCCATGACGCTGACTTGCACTTGTTGGTCTCGGAGTTTCTGCAGGAGGTCGGCTTGGCCATGAGCAAGTCTTCTGATCTCCTGCTGCATCGTCTGCATGTCGAAGTTCGGTGGGGGGCTCAAGGACCTAAAGTCAATCTTCTTCTGATAGAGCGCCGTGTCAACTAAGTTTTCAAGTTGAGAATCATGGGAAATGAGAAAACAACTTGAAACTTACGATGAACCTCCTTGGGATCTGGTGGGCTGACCTGCCGAGAACGAGATACCGAATGTGAACCTTCTGGCCGGGACGTGCGCTCAACAGGTGGGGGTGTAAAGCTTTGTTGCATATAATTGACAGCCAAGCCCAATTCTATAAATGAAGTCAGCAAAGAATAACGAGTTTCATGAATTTTTTACCCGGCTGCATTGCTAACTCGGGCATGATCCACTCCATCTCACTGGCTGGCAGCCCAATCTCCTGGCCCTTTCCTTTGTCAGTGTTGGTACCGACCTCAGTCTCAGTGCTCTTGAAAATTGCCGATGTGTGTGGTGTGGGTGGCTCAATGATTATGGTGGGAGTCACCCGGCCCATGTCTTTGTCGGCTTTTGGAATGGCACCAACCTCGGTTTCCTCATGTTTGACTTCGGCCATCTCTATGTCGATACCACCCTTGGACTTCCCCTTTCCCATTGTCAGACCAACCTCCATGTCCACGTCAATTGCATGCTCCACATCATGCCCGACTGCGGCCATTTCGACATCCTGCTTGCCCTTCTCTTTGACATCCGGCTTCACCTTCTTCACCTGCGGCTTCTTTGACCTCGCTTTCTTCCTCACGATCTTCACTTGGGCATCTCCCCTGGAGACTGTGGCCGTTTCAAGATCCTGCAACCCCTTTTGGATCTCGTCTTTGACCTCACTGTCGGTGTCCTTTTTCTTGGTTACTGCATCAGTACTTCGTCATGCCCCACTGATTCCTGCAGGAATGAAGGCATTCCACCGGATTCCAGTGGAATCCTCAGGAATGGCACAGGAATCCACAGGAATAGCACAGGAATCCACAGGAATGGCACAGGAATCCACAGGAATGGCACAGGAATCCACAGGAATGGACAGGAATGTCACAGGAAGGCCTAAAATGTATATTTCACAACTTAATCCTAAGAATTCCTTATGATATTTAGACTTGAATAGGGAAAATCAAAGTGTATTTGATAGAACTACACAAAAAATGATGTATTTCAATTATAATACAAAATATATTTAATTACATGCAGTGTATACTAGAGAGGGAGGGGATGGGCAAGGGAAAAGGGAAGGGGGATGGAA